GATTCTGATGTACTGCGTTTCTTGTGGTGGCCCGATAACGATCTCCAAAGACGACCCGGAGAATACCAGATGACAGTTCATCTTTTCGGCGCCGTCTCCTCTCCAAGTTGTGCAAACTTCGCTCTTAGAAAGACAGCCGAGGACAACGTTCAACGATTCGATTTCGAGGTGATCAATACAGTCAGAAGAAACTTTTATGTAGATGACTGCCTGAAATCTGTACCTACTGAGAGTGAAGCTATCTGTCTGACCGCTGACCTCAGAAGACTGCTAGAAAGGGGAGGCTTTAATCTGACTAAATGGGTCTCGAACTCTCGCAATCTTATCGAATCATTACCTGAGTCTGACAGAGCCGGATCATTCAAAGACCTTCCTGATGATCAAATGCCCATTGAGCGTGCTCTTGGTGTCCGTTGGGACGTAGAAGGCGACATATTCTGTTTCAAGATCGAAGTCAACGACAAGCCCCTCCCAAGAAGAGGATTGCTATCTGTCGTTTCCTCAGTGTATGATCCGCTAGGGTTTGCAGTCCCAGTGATACTCCCAGCCAAAGTGATATTGCAAGATTTATGCTGAAAGAGATTGGAGTGGGATGACCCAATCCCCACCGAGGAAAAGGAACGTTGGCTTAAATGGTTGAAAGATCTGCCCAAGCTCGAACGCTTCTCAGTTGATTGCTGCTTTAAGCCACAGAACTTCGGGAGAACTGCATCGCTGCAACTACACCACTTCTCAGACGCTTCGCAACAAGGCTACGGTGCAGTCTCTTATCTCAGATCTATGGATGACAAGGGTACAATTCACTGTTCATTTGTGATGGGAAAGGCGCGTACTGCTCCGCTGAAGTCCATAACGATACCAAGGCTAGAATTGTCAGCAGCTGTTCTTGCATCAAGGCTGGACAAAATTATTAGACGAGAGATTGACCTTCCAATACATGAGTCCGTGTTTTGGACAGACAGTACTTGTGTGATGAACTACATAGGAAGCAATGACAAGCGATTTCACACCTTCGTTGCTAACAGAGTGGCGATCATACATGATGGATCTTCCCCGTCTCAGTGGAGGTACGTGAACACCGAAGCGAACCCGGCAGATGATGCCTCAAGAGGTCTGGCAATAGACTCGCTCATTAAGAAGAATCGTTGGATATGTGGTTCCGATTTCCTATGGGAACAGGAGTCAAGATGGCCTACACAGCCAACTACCGTCCAAGAAATACCTGACGACGACCCTGAGATCAAGAGGGAAACTCGCACATTTTCCGCTGTATCAGACTCTGGCACAAATAGTATGAACAAATTGCTCGAGAGATTCTCATCATGGTCTCGACTCAAGAAGATTATGGCCTGGATCCTGTGCTATTGGGACGGACTGAGAGCATCGTGCGAGAGGCGTAAAAGGGGATCGTCATTAGCACTGAAATCCACCGTTGGCAGGGAGAGTGAGTCGATCAATGTGGACGAGATTAACAGAGCAGAGAAAGAAGTCCAAAATTCGTTCAACGTCAAAGCTTTGAAGAAGAAATGTCCCATCTCGAACAGAAAGGAGGAGGCATTGGA